AAGGGTGGAGCGCGAAATAATGTAGAAAATTACCGTCCGATTTCGATCCTACCTTGTCTTGCTAAGATATTAGAGAAACATCTGTGGCGAGTTATGACAAGCTTTTTAGATAAACATGATATTCTCTCACCCTATCAGTACGGATTTTTACAAGGCCGAGGTACCCAAATGCTGCTGGAAGGTTTTTCTGATGAGGTTTTCTAATGAGGACAATCAGGTGGCCTGTGCACTTTTGTTGTACGTTAGCAAAGCATTTGATGGGGTTTGTTACCGTATTTTACTGACAAAGCTTTCAATGCTAGGTTTCCGTGGTTCTTTCCTACGCCTGCTGGAGAACTTTCTGCGAGATAGGCGTCAGTGTGTATCTGTTGGACGGTTTCAAAGCGACTTTTCTCTTATCAAAGCTGGTGTCCAACAAGGTTCAATTTTAAGTCCGCTTTTATTTAAAGGGGCAGTGCAACGGTTTTAATGTTGAAAGAATTGCCAGTTTGCATTTTTTATATTGTTCATACAAGCCCAAGTGACCAAAAACGCGTCACCTTTCCCAAAAAAACGGCTATTCTGCTGCGTAATCGCAAGGCAAAATACGAATTATTTGCCGATCTGCAGCCGCCGGTGGCGGCTACGGGAACTAAAATGACGGCGTCTCTGGGGGATACGCGGAAGTCAACAAACCCTGTCCCCCTCCGCTGCTACACTCGCCGTCAGCCCCGTGGCGAACCGACCTTTGTGTTCATCGCTCGCCGCGACCTTCGACGAGGCTAATCCTTTGAAAGTCGACAATCGCGGAGGGAGCGGCTGGGGTCTCAGAAGAGAGGGCCCAAGGGGAAACCACGTGAACCCCCAGAGACGTCACTCGAAAGTCGGCGTGGAGAGTTGAGAGGCACTTCGACCTTCGATTTGTTTCATTTTTTTAAATAAGAACTAGTGCTCGCAAGAAAATGCGGCTTTCGGTTTTTCGTTCCATAGGTGACGCAGATTAACTTCCGCACTTAACTGGCCAAAGTCTGAAAATCGTTGCACTGCCCCTTTAATATTTATGTTATTGACCTACATAAAGTTGTGCCAATTTCTATATTTCAGTATGCCGATGATACTGTCCTGTTAGTCAGAGCGTCTAACTCTTTAGAAGCTATCTCTGCTTTACAATCTGCGGCTACTAAAGCCATGGACTGGTTTGCAGCTAATTTAGTTTTAATTAATGGTTCTAAAACTCAGCTTATTTGTTTCCACAGCCCTCTAAAGGAAGTTTCTCTAACTTATTCTTTATTGTTGCATACGACAGATTGTTTGCATTGTGATTGTGTGCCTGTAAAATATACATCTTCTGTGAAATACCTTGGAGTGTTTTTTGACAGCGACCTAGCGTGGAATTCTCATCTTTTGCATGTTTGTAAGAAACTTCGTGCAGTATGTTGTATGATGCATAATATCCGATATTTTAGGCCTCTTTCGGTACGAAAAGTTGTTGTTCATGCCCTTGTATATAGTGTGTTTCGGTATGGTGTGACTGTTTACGGTCGTTGTGCTCTTCGCTGGCAAGATAGAATTAACTGCCTTCTACGTTCTTCGTTAAAAAATATTTCACATGACCTGTGTCTAGAGAATGATGTCGATGTATTTAATATATTGGGCTTTCCTAACTTTAGCTCACTTCTGATAGAAACTATTGTTCACTGGCACTATTGGGCTAGCCAATTTAAAACCCCGTACATACCATCGCGTTATCTCAGACCCAAATACCCTTACTGTATATCTCGGTGCTCAACAAAATTTGGAAAACAAATTCGTAAGTATTACGTGCCAGCAATCTTCAACAAACTTCCTTCTGAAATGCATATAGTATAAAAACAAAATACAAGCTTAAAAAAGCCTTGAGAAGTATTAGTTTTTAAAATTGTTTAATGAATGTTATGTTTTGTTTATGTTTCATTTTTTGCACTGACTGCCAGGTACTCCGAGACAAGCCCGATGTGGTTTTGGCAGGCCTGATTCTGTACCTTTTTTCTTGTCAAGTAATGAAAATATTATTATCATTATTATTATTATTCTATAAATATCTATCTATTCCTCTCCTTCAAGTTTGGTAGTATAGTCATTCCTAATCAGCATGATTTCATGTCCGGCAGATCGACATCCACCAATCTCGTATCTTTTACGTCTGCTGTCTCTGAACTAGTTTGTAATAGAGGTCAGCTTGACGTCTTTTATTTCGACCTGAGTAAGGCATTCGACGTAGTCAACCACAACATCCTCCTATACAAGCTTTCCTCTTACGGAGTATGTGGTTCGGTACACAATTTGTTAAAAATCTATTTGTCTGATAGGCAAGCCTACGTCCGCGTCAACAATACTACCTCGTCCTTGTACAAGGCAAGCTCTGGAGTGCCTCAGGGAACTGTCTTGGGCCCCCTCCTTTTTAATATTTTTGTAAATGATGTCTCTCGAGTTATATTAAATTCTTCATTTCTGCAGTACGCTGATGATATAAAACTTTACAAAAAATATCGACCTTAGAGGATTGCATCGCGCTTCAGAATGACGCATACTCCTTCAGTCGTTGGTATTTAGACCATGACCTCCGTTTGAATCATTCTAAAACAAAAGTAATGACATATTCTTGCAAGACCCAGGATATATTTTTTCCATATAGTTATCATGGCGAACTGCTGTCACGTGTAAGTCAACTGAGGGACCTTGGAGTTGTCCTTGATTCAACCCTGAAATTTGACACTCACGTTATCAGAGTGGTTCAATCGGCCTTGCGCACGTTAGCTGCCGTGTCTCGCATAACGAGGGAATTGAAAAGCCCGTCCGTTTTTTTTACGCTCTATTGCTCCATAGTTAGATCCCAGCTAGAGTACGCCTCGGTTGTTTGGAACGGCATTTCCAAAACTAACAGTTTATCGGTCGAGCGAGTCCAAAACAAATTTATTTCTATCTTTAAATATCGTTACCTTGAGAAAGGTGATCCTTGTCTGAACGGTGTGTGTAACTCGCAACTTGTCTCCTTGTTGAGCCTGCAGCAGCGTCGGGTGAAGGCAGATTTGTTGTTTTTGTTTAAGACCCTGCACGGCTCGATTAACTCTCCCAGCCGTCTGTCCGAAGTGAGCCTCAGAGTTCCACGTGTGCCTACACGGCTACAATCATCTTTTTATATAGCTCGACATTTTAGCCAATTAAACCCGATCCAAAGATCGGCTGAGTGTTATAATCTCTACTCTGACACAATTGATATTTTTAACTCATGCGGAAGCAAGTTCGGAAATGCTGTTCGAATCTTCCTCTTTGCAGGAAAAGGGCTGATCAGTTGAAGCGTTGATGTAGTATTTGCTTTTTGCTCTCACACCTGGTGATGTCTGTTTTGTCCTTTTAATTTCCCTTGTTGATTTGAGTGTCTTTCATACTTGTTAATATTTTTATTCTCAGACTGGAGAACTACGTTCTCCTTCTGCACTCGTGTGTATGCGTGTTTGTATGTGTGTGTTTTTGCTCATTTTTTTTTAGTGTGCCAGCACTAAGACCGATTGGTTGTTCCTGGACACTTTAACAAACATCGATTGATTAATTGATTGAAGACCGACCACAGTACCGCAACGATACGGTAGAGTCAATCAAGCAGCACTAAAAGTGCATCGTCACGGCGCTCAATGTTTTTGTGGGAAGACCTCTTCCGTCACTAATACGAAGCAACGGGACAGCATCAGCAATCCCGACAGCGGCAGTGGTGGTACTGTCATCTCAATTGCTTGAAACGCTTTCGGTCAATACGCGTTCACTATACGGCCGACCGAAATGAGAAAATCTGAATTTACTAAAAACCACCACGAGGCAGTCACCATCTAACAGACAAGCTTGTCGAAACAAACAAAACTGTCGGTGTACAGCCTCCTTATAGACGCTTTGCAGCAGCTCTGCATGGACGCCGCCATAACTGACCTTCAGTTTTTGTTTCCTCTTATTTCGTTTATTTCACCTCATCATTACCATAGCAGTACAGGTTATTGCCACATTAGATTCAACTGTGTCCTTTTCTAAAGCATCGGCCTTTGTAGAGGATCGTCAACTACCGTTTCAGTTGCTCGGCATCTCAGTAAGACAAGAAAGATCAGCAATGGCGGCTGTAATTTGGCGCGTGTGTAAAGCGTCTATAAGGAATATTCACTGGGCGCCATATTTGTGGGTGCTCTCTAGAGCGCATGCTCAGAACGAGCCCACATCAATAGGCTGCTAAGACTGGCAATCTTGAGGGTGCGGAATGCACGTTACAAAAGAACTGTGGAAGCTCGCCATCAGCACGGGCTCAGCAGTCGCGCACACAGCTATGGCCGCCAGTGAATAGTTCCTGTTACTACATGTACTAGAGTCACGGACAGTTTGAGAAGCGCAGGGAGTGACGAAACTCGAGCATCTCATTCTCGCTCCGCAGCCAATCAAATTGCGGCATCAGTTGAGAAGAACGCCGAAGAGCCAATCACGAAGCGAGAAGCGTGTGCACAATGAGCCACGCCGCGCGTCTCTTAAAGCCGGGGTCACACTGCGTATACACCATGCAAAAGACAGTCTGCATACAGATTCGAAGGCGAGTCACCGCGACATCCGTGCTTCGAAGGCCGCATGACTATGAGCTCGAGGAAAACTTGGCACGCGGCATTCGAACCACGGATATTACGGTGACTCGTGTTTGCAGACTGTCTTTTGTATGACGTTTGAGCAATGAGACACCCGCTTCAGCTTTATTATACCCCACGGTGCACACGGAGCACTAATGATTCTTCTTCGCTTAAATCAGCTCAACCAGTGAGAAGGGCGACATCTTTCGACACTGAAACTAACCACCGAGGGTCAATACCGCTCGCATTTCTAATTGACTTAAAGCCATCTTTAGCGTAACAGTGATCAATGTTATTCCGAGACCATCGCTGGGCTTCAACATACGCGAGGGGCTTTCTGAAGGTGCGGAGGGCGTACAAAGAGGAAGTACGGCGAATCGAACTCACGCTTGGCACTGTCCACAGCTAGGGCATTCACAGCGTCGCTGCTACTCCCCGCATCTTGGAGCCCGTCCTGCTTGTAGTCGAACGCGGTGCAGACCACGACGCCGGTATCCATGGCGCGTCCAGGGCGCGCGAATGAAGCGATCCCGTTAACGCCGCAATGTCACCGACGAGACGTTCAGTTCCTCAGCATTGTGTAAGCAACACAGCGCATGCCTTCAGAGTGCCTTCACGTATCTCTCTATTTCTTTCTCTCCCATAACATAATGTGTAACACTCTTACATAAAGCGGGAAGCAAAAGTTTTCCTAGAAGCTTCAAACCCGTTCCATTCCTTATGCGTTAGGAAATCAGGACTGTGCGGACTCGCTTTGCTTCGGCGCACGTCTAGGCGGCAGAGAGACGTAAACACGCGATTGCGGCCGCGCCAGCATCAAGCGCCTTGGAAACCGGTTCTTGTGTTGTCTTGGATTGTGGACAGAAGGAGCGTGGGGGCCGACGGTAACGGGCGCCGGGTTGTGCGTAACAGCTCCAAGCGGTGCCTCCAATCGCGCGGAATCGTGAGATGAATGTGTTTCTAGCACGGATCCCCGAGCTGAAGCTCGGACCAATTTTCATGCTCGCTTACGTGCATGTGTGGAAGTTTTACCGTGTTGGTATGGAAACGATCGACTTAATGATTGCTCGAAGAATTGCGTACTTCCTCAAAGGCGCGGCTATATATGGATATTAGCCAACGTTTCCTAATACTTATAGGAGACATGAGCATATAAGTAATGTATACTATCGGCATTAGTTATAAGCTAATGCTTGGTGAAAGCAATAGGTTAAGTTAATGTCTCTTGGGGAGATTTCGGCCTCCCCTCTCAGACTTGGAGAAATTTCATGCTCGGGGGCTTTCTAACTGCTTCGGTAGCGTTAGTTTTTTTTTGTCGTTTATAAAAAAATGAGATAAAAACAGAAATGTAACGTTCTAAGTTTCTTTTTAAGCCTGAATTTTTTTTTCTTATTACCTCGTTTCACCATAAGTACAGACGCAGCCGACGTCACGAGCTAATGGGACCAATCCGACAGCATCGAGAGCGCATCATGTGTTTGTACGAGATCTATGCTCGTTGAAACAATCATAAGCATAAAAAGCAAAGTGACTTGCGCTTTTCACGCTGGTTCATTGATCCTATTAGCTCGTACACCGTCGGCTGCGTCTGGGCTTAAGCTGAAAAGAAGTACAACCAGCTCAAACTTTAAGGAAGTAAAAAAAGAAAACAGGGAGTTACTCGTCGTGTCATGCAAATAAACTGAGACGTGGAACACCCTCTGCTCTGAGCTGGCTACACGCAATCTTTTTTCAGGACCATTAAAACATTGGCAAGAAAATAATAAATTTTTCGGAGAAATTGTGACGTCACGTTGAATAGTGTCGAGGGACACTGACATCACGTGACATTGTGTATCGACCCCTATACTTCGTGTTACGATAACTTGTTAACTTTGAAGGGTGCGACACCCCACCCCATAAGAGCGTCGGAGCAAAGCACGTGATAACACTCGGTGGTCGAGGCCACGGAGGCTCCACGGCAGCAACAGCACAGTCTGCGACAAAAATTAGTCCAGGCTTCTTTTTTCGGGCAATCAGACTCCCGCAATTCTTTCAGCAAAAAAAAAAAATAAAAAATAAAAAAAAATAGTGACGTCATTATGGTGCCCGCTCCGGATTTCCTTCTCCTTGTAGTACCGTGGCCTGGTGGCGATCGCAGTCATGTAATCGAAATCTTGCGCTCAGAACATTGCACTGGGCGCTGTTATTAGCACACATCACACATTCGGGAATAAATTGATCAAATGGTTGTCTCATTAACTGTTCCATAAGAGCTCGCAACTCTAGCGGACGGCATTGTTGCGACGGTGGACGTTCATTCGAAGTTGGCTTCGCAGCAGACGACCTTTGGTGAGCAGACGACAGCAAGCATTTACTCGCACAAGTGTGAAATAATATCTACGCTGAAAGCTGTACACATTTAAATTGGACTTCTCTTAAGCGGGCAAAATATTAGACCGTAAAATTACCGGTAAAAAATGCGACAATAATTGTTATCCGTATAAGAACAACTAGAGAAATACGGGATCAGTTTTAACTAGAAAACATTTGAATGGTATAAATATTTCTGGTGAGAATTCTTGTTTTAAGCACAATTATTTCCACAAAATGGCGAGGTACGCATTGATAAGATAAGGCAAAACGAATCAAGCCGTCACGGTGACAATCAGGTGGACGTACGTAGCTAGATTACGACGAAACTGGTCGCACAAGAAATCACGTAGGCCATGTTCATGCATCTAGTCACTGAATTATTGCATCAAGCGACATGCTAATACAATCAACTAAAGCTCTAATTGCTCCATTTGAGCTCGAGCTTCCTTAAAATAAAGACGCCTATTTATTTATTTAATTATTTATATCGCAATACACTAACCTAATAAGGGCTATATTGGAAAAGGAAGAACGGCAGTAAAATATTCTCAATAAAAATTAACGCCGGCTAACAGTCATCAGTAGAAATTGACACATGTTAGAAGTCATTCATCCGGTTTAGAAAAATGTCTAAATAATTAGAATTTGGGATAAAGAAAAAACGGTTCTTAAATTTAAAACATTTATAGCCTAGAAAACTCATCTTCTCGAGCAAATTTGTCTTATTTTTACCTAAAAGAAACATAAAAGTTGCGTAATAAGAACAATATTTGTAAAACACGAAGAATAAAGACAACAATCCAGTCGTTTTGCAAGAACGGTTATCTGTCCTCGTCCTTCGGATGTTTAAATAGTTCAAACAATTAATAGTGGAAAAAACACTACCGCACTATTTTCACATAAGCTCGTCCTTGAACGCTGTCACGTAAGTTTGCAAGTGTCGACGCAACTAAGTACGGACAACGACTGAGAACGATATTCCATTCCATAACGAGATTCGAGCAATCGAGCGCAACACCCTACTGGCGTTCCGAACGACCGAGAAAACCTGTAAATAATTTATTTATTTTACCTTCGAATCGCATCTACAATGTACGTGCCGCAATATACGTGCCGCTATATATACTTGCCGCAATATACGCAATAAGGAAATATGAACACGAACGCAGGGAACTCTCTGTGTTTGTGTGTGGCAGGGATGAACGAACACATACCCACTTACACCCGGAGCAGAAACCGTTCCACGTGTTCACGTAAATGCCGTGGTATCAAACACAAAAATGCGGGCACACAAAAAAAGAAAAAAGAAAAAATACAGCGTTGGCAGAGGCCTACGGAAAGCTTCCAATGGGGAAGCCATTGTCACACTGCTCGTGCAGGATGCAAAAGAGACGGTGTCCACTCAAGACATGACGACAGAACCATGTCACGCCTCAACCATGTTCGAAGCATGTTGGCTTCATACGTAGGCATGTTTAACACGTGTCGGCAGACAGTTTTTGTATTATTAGTGTGAACGGAAAAACGGCGTGTGCAAACTACACGGCGTGCAAATTCGTCCGCTTCTTTTGCAGGGGGGGGGGGGGAGGAGTGGGAGGGGGGGGATGAGGGGGGGGAGGGTGACGTCAGAACGTTGAGCTCTGAATGGCTCTGACTGAAAGATAGTAGGTAGAGCTCGAGGCAGCTTGCTTTGATGTCTACTCCCTATTTTTCAATCAGAGCCAATCAGAGCTCGAAATTTTGACGTCACCCTCAACCCCTGCAAGAGAAACATAGGAACTTTCGCTCCGCGTATCTTGCACGATGTATTTTGTTGGCAGCGTGAGCGCGGCCTAAGATCGACGTCAGCGTCGAGCGATTCCTCGCTCGCTTCGGCGGCGACTCCGGATCTTTTCTCGCGCCTTTATATAAAACAAAAATTTCGCCGACCTGTCGAATAATGAGCTATATATCAATGCGAAAGCGTTAACTGACCTATGGAGCGAACTGACGCCATCAGCTTTGAAACCACGCCAAACGTTGGCCATACGCACCTAAAATCCCCTTTCCCAAGGGAAGCCAATTTTCTCGTGGATTATGCTCCCATTGGCTGGCGCGCGTCATCAAGGAACGAGGTTCCCATTGGATCTCGTGCAGCGTAACACAAAAATAGTCGCCAGGGGAGCCCTCTCCATGGCGGCGCAGCGCACGAAGCGGCGCGGCCGCCGGTAAGAGGAGCAGGGGTGTAAAGGTGGGGGAGGAGGAGTGGCGAATCTCGTGCGCCGACATCCTGGGTCCCGAGTGAAAGATCGCGAAAGAGAGCGACAAAACACGAGAGAAAGAAACCAATGTCGCCAGTTGAAGGACGGCAGTCGCAATGGTAATCGCGAATACTGAAAACTCTCAGCAATATAAACAGTGATGATTTAACGTTGTAAACTGAATTCTGTGCTATTCTAACGCTTACCAAAAGCAGTATACTCATTACGCTGCATTAACTCCCCTTCTGTTGAAAACTCGGAAACCTGGTGTTTGCTCGGTTTCGTATTCCTGGGGCGCGCTCACTGGCGCCCCGCCCGCGAGGACGGTTATCTGGTGTAGTTTAGCGTTGATGGGAGGCCGTACATCTGCGCATTATGCAAAAAGAAAGCTTCGAAAGGAACGCGAATATCTTTCCACCGGTAAGTTCGCGGATTGTTGAAGTTCATGAAACTGCTCTGATGATATAATTATATTCGTGAAATCAAAGGCAGTTGTTAACAATGTGTGGGACCCCGAGGGTTTGCCTGCGTGCTCCGCCGCTTGCGGCAGCCAGAATGCATGACAAAATGGCGGACCTTTTCCTCTAGAGTTAGTATGTACGATCTCTATGAAGAGGAGGGAGCGGTGGCGGCAGAGTCAGAGCCCGCCCGGGCAGGGTCCTGAGAGGGTGCACGGCCGAGCTCAGCGCGGCGCGGTCACTTCACGAAAGCGCGCGCTCCGTCGTCCGCCGCCGAAATGTGGCCGTCCACGCCGCTACGCCGCAGACGAACTACGGTAACAGAAGAACGACATTCATGATTTCGCATTCACAACAGATAAGAAGTGCTTAGGTGTCTTCAGACATTTACGTTGATATGACGCGTGAACAATAAATTCCGCAAGATCCCACATTTGAAAGGCCTTTAACGATGGCAAAATGCGCACGCCGAAACAACTACAGCTTTTGTCCACCGATTATATACGTACAGTCGGGAGCAAAAGTTTGCGCGGCGCGTGAGCGTCAGCCGAAATGACTGGTTGCGCCTTCCGACGGCGCGCGGCCGCTCTCAAGATTCACGCTTCGAGAATGTGCTTCCTTTCGTGCTCGAAGGCATGTCTTTTTTGCTCGCTTCCGCCCGACGTGCTCGAGATGCTCGAAATAGCCGG